CCCCCCCCCACTTGAGGGCATCCCTCTTCTTCTGGCTCCCACAGCAGCTTGGGCAGCCTCTGGTGCTGAATCCACATGCTGCTGTGTTAAAATGCATCCCTTTCAGCATCTGTTCTCCCCTCTAGATTGGGAACGCGGAGGCAGGGACAGTCATCTTTCTGCATTTAGTGAGTGCCCGTAATGTCAGGTGTGTAGGGTTCCCAGGAATCAAGGAACGGAAACACACACCCAGTAAACTGGCTCAGTGCACAGGGTTCCTGTGTGGAGGTTCAGGGGCAGGAGCCCGGCGCCTGCAGCCCTCCAGCCATTGTTACTGGGTGGCTGCTCAGTGTTGGGGGTGAAGGGGTGAGGAGATTAACTTGAGGGGTCCAGGCTCTGAGCCCACGTCTGGGGCCTCTCAAGTGGCTGCATCCAGATAGAGGGAGCACGTGAACAGTCTGAGGAGGTAGGAAGCTGGGGGGACAAGCACTTGAGGAGAGCAGTTGGGGTGAGTGAGAGGGGCTGGCCCAGGGCACATTATGCCAGGTACTTATTGGGCCCTGTGGGGAGCTGGGGTCTCCCTCTCATTCCAAAGGGAAGTCTCTGGAGGACTTGAGCCAGGTGGCAGCATGCTCTGGTTCTCCTTGGAAAATGACTGTCACTACGGTGTGACAAATGGATTGGATGTGGCTGAGTGGGAAGTCAGGAGACCAGCTGTGATTTTTGCACAACTGAGGCCAGATGTGACCCTAACTGGTGGTGAGAATCGCATGACCATGAAGACTTAATGATGAATTGGATGTGTGCAGGAGAATGTCCACATAGAGGGCGGACAGAGTGAGGACACAGAAAGCACAAGGGACTGACCTCCAGAGAAATATGGAGTCAGTCTCCACATGGGGATTCGGGCAACCGGGGTGGATTGAGGTCGGAAATCTGGAGTGGCTTAACTGAGTGGTTCTGGCTCAGGGTCTCATGAAGTTACAGCGAAGATGTTGGCCAGGGCTATGGTCATCTGAAGTCATGTCCACTGGGGCTGCAGGATCTGCTTTTAAGACGGCTTCTGCTCACATGGCTGTTGGCGGGAGGCCTCAGTTGCTTCTCCATAGGGCTGCTGGAGCATCCTCAGGGCATGGTGGCTGCCATCTGCATGTTGGACACTCTGCTGCTGACAACTGCCAGGCCCCAGGCAGTTGGTTACTTAGCAAGTCACCTGGCCTCCAGCCAGCTGCCCACCTTGAGATGACTGGGAGGCGAGGACACACAGGCATCTGGGTGTCCCTGGGGCAGGCAGCGAAACCGACTGCTGCAGGTCCCCTCTTCCCTGCCCCTCTGCTCACCAGCCTGCTGGGCCTGTCTCACTTGGTTCAGTTGCTCTTGTCCTGAGAATGTCTCCAGCAGGTGGCAAGTGGGCCCTGACATAAATCCTGGCACATTCAAACCCCCTTAATTGAAACAGAACCTCCTTCTCTGCTTTGCAGAACATGGAAAATGGTGAACACGTCAGATGACAGACAAGATATACTCTTTCCCACCAAAATACTGAGACTAATAGTGATTTATAACTATTTAAAAATAGAACAGAAAGACATCAAGGAGAGACTCTTCCTCTACGATGCAAACTTGAATTGCATTTCTGCAAATTAATGAGCAATGATTTTTTAAGGCAGGGGCAGTTAGTGTGCAGATCTGGTTACTTCTCAAGGATTTACTGGCCTCAGAAAATGAAAGAAACTCAACAGAATCTGAGTCCTACTATTTGCCAACCAACACTCCGTGTGTTTGTGCAAATCAGATTTTGATGCTGTAGGTAGGGGAAGTTTAAAACAATCTCTAGAAAGTTATTTTACTTAGATAAGGGAGATAACTATAGCTTAGTGGGATAAGTTGAAATGCAGTTTTATGTCTTGATCATTTTTTTTCACAGTGAACAAATAATTAGTTAAAACAAACAGCAAAGATGAGTTGGGAATATAAAAAGCTGAGAATATAAAAAGACGAGAGAAAGCTCATTGAGTGGCCTGAGAATGAAGCAATTTAGATGTAAATCTTTTATTCACTTTTCATTTACTTATGCAGTCAACAAATATTTATGGAGGGCCTACTATGTGGCAGGCACTGTGCTAAGTCTCACTAAGATGTGAGAGCTAAGAAGTGCCTGAGTCTGACTTTCCTTGCGCTTGGAAAACAGCGTAAACAGAGACCAGCTGCTTATGAGGGTTCATGTTGCAGGGAACCTCACGGAACATGTCCCCTGGCTGTGCGCTCAGCCCCAGGTGGGAAAGCGCTCAGCGGGGCTTTGCACAGTGTTTGCTTTTGTTACTCAGTGGTGGCTGGCGTGTAGCCTTAGACAACCAGGTGTGTGTGTGTGTTTTCTGATTAACTCATTAAACTTACCCTTGAGTATGTTACAACCTACTGGGAAGATTTAGGTGCTACTAAATTCAATAGGATGTGGGAACATGGAGCTTGAGGACTGCCCAGGGAGCTCTAGGAACCCACAATTCAGCTGAGACAAGTGTAATGTCCCAGAGGAGATGGCTCCAGGGTGCGTGTTGCACTTGGACTTTTACACAGAGACCTAGGAACACTAGCAAGCTGCCATCCTTGAACCAGCAAGGCAGTTCTTCGTTACGTAAGACGACTCATTCATGTTTCTTTTTTTTTCTTTTTTTTAAATATATCTTTATTGATTTCAGAGAGAGGAAAGGAGAGGGAGAGAGAGAGATAGAAACATCAATGATGAGAGAGTCATTGGGGATGGAGCCCGCAACCCGGGCATGTGCCCTGACCGGGAATCGAACCCCGATCGCCTGGATCCCAGGTGGACGCTCAACCGCTGAGCCACGCCTGGCTGGGCTCATTCATGTTTCATTGTAAAATTCACGGTAAGACTGTCTTCTGTGTGTGGGTGATGCTGACATGTATATGTATTTTTTTAAATAGGTAATTTTATGCTGCCAAAATGGGACATAAAGTGGTCGTATTCGACATTTCTGTCGTCAGAGGCTTGTGGGAAACGCGTGTCAAGAAGCACAAAGCCTGGCAGAAGAAGGAGGCCGAACGGCTCGAGAAAAGTGCGTTGGAAAAGTAAGTTTTCTGTACTCGCTTGTAGCTTCTTTAGCCAGTAGGGGCCCGGGCAGGACACGGCTGTGTTGCGGAGGGGGCTGTCCTTCTCCTGGGATGTCTCCCTGTCAGTGACACGGGCTTACTGAACTTCAGAACCTTGGTGCTGTTGCCCAGCATGATCGTTCGGTTCCTATAAAATGACACCCACAGCTGGAAGGACCCCCCAGGCGCCGTGCAGGGGGAGCTGAAGAGTCCCGAGCCAGCTCCAGTGTCCGGCTGGGCCTGGAGTTTACGAACAGCAGGTGCGCCCGCAGGAGAGATTCCCCAAGGTGGCTGAGGGGTGACATTCTCAAGTCCGGTGCTTTATAAACCGGGACTACCTGTGTGGTTCTAGCCAAATGCTCTTGAAACATCAGCAAATTCCCGTGGCCTTGCATTTTGAAAAAACTTGCATTGGCACCACCTGCTAAGCCAAGGAAATGTAATTAATTCAATGTGCAGGTAATTTGGGGAGAAATTTCAGCCAGGAATTCCATCTAACTCAACTCCTCTGAAGTCAAGTTGCTAGTAATTCACAACTCGGAGGTTTTAAGTTTCCTCTGGGTTACCCACCCCTTTTGGAGCAGAGGGGCGGGGAGACCCCAGGGCACCGGGAGGGCCACCACGGGCCCAGGCCCAGGCTGCGGGCGCTGCGGGCGCTGCGGGACAGTGAGGGCGGCCTCGGGCGTTGCAGGATCAAGGAGGAGTGGAACTTCGCGGCCGAGTGCCGCAGGAAGGGTGTCCCCCAGGCGGCCTACTGCAGGAATGGCTTCGTGGACACCACCGAGAGGCTCCTGGACAGGCTCGAGAGGAACTCCCTCCTGCGGCAGGGCTCGCCTTCCAAGGACAGGGGCAAAGGGAGCAGCGCTTTCGTGTTTGAACTTTCGGGGGAGCACTGGAAGGTGAGTCGGTCCGTTGGGGTCTCTGCGGCCAGCGGAGGCTCAGTGCGCTCTGCGCTGAGTCCTCGGTTACACTGAGCTCGGGGCCTTGGCCTTGGCCTTGGCCAGGTGAGCGCCCTCGCCCTCAGAGGGCCTGCTCTGAACCGGGCTCTCCTGGCTCCTTCACGAAAGCGCCACCCCGGAAAGGGCAGGGGAGGGGAGCACTTGGATCCCTTCCAGGCTGGGAGCCCCTGGGCCCCAGGGGCACTCCTCAGGATGGCACAGCCTTTAAAATGCACAAAGCTGCTGCCTTCCCCCAGACCTTTACAGTAACTCTCTGCCTTTTTAAATTTTTAAACAAACGGAGCCTTTCACCTAATGCCCCGGTGGGTGGCGACTTTGCGGGCTTGTCACAGTGTGAGCAGCAGTAGAGAAATTTCTGCAGACACGTTAGCCGTGTTCCTCTGAGATTCTGAGGCCAGGGCACAGATGTCCCCTCTTTCCTTCCTCGGGTGCTTGCACGCGCTTCCTGCTCCCACTCCCCGCACCCTGCTCCTTTGCTTGGAAGGCTTGCCCGTGACCTGCGGGCTCCTGGTCGGAGCGGACTCAGACTATTGTCCGTTTCGGTGGGACAGGGTTCTCTGGGGGAGCCCTCCATCTCTGTGACCCTGGGTCAGCTCCCCGATCAGCCAGCTCTTCACGTTGGCTCAGCAGCAGGGGGACACCATCTGGTCTCACGTGGGTTGGGTGCAGATCAGGAGGGCCCAAGATGGTGTTGCCAGGGCTCGGCGCTGTGCTTAGAAGGGCCCCGTGCTTGGTTGAAGGCTCTGCTGTCACCCTCTTGAAAATTCTTAATAATTTTTAGCCAGGGGCCTGCACTTTCATTTTATACTAGTTCCTGCAGCTACGTAGCTGGTCCTTAGCCTAAGTGACTCATTTAAATGTCTGTGGCTTTTGGTTTTCCTCTCTCAAATGGGCCTGAATAATGCTCACTCTGCCTAGCTTATGGGACTAATGTGAAATCATATTTAGGGTGAAAAGAATTTTGTAAGTTAAAAGCTTAACCCGTGGATCCAAGAGCAATGATCACAAAGCACATTACAAGTACCAAGTGGCAAGGAAAGGGGTCACCGTGGATTTCCTGACTGCCACTTCCACCCCACTAACCTCACCCCGCCTCCCTGCTGCACACCTGCTACAGTTTGCTGGTGGCACCCCATGGTCAGGGGACACGTCTTCATCTTTGCTCCATCCGTTCAGCGCTGAGCTCACCTCACTTGTAGAGGTAACACTGGGCGAACTGAATTTCTTCAACTGGACAGATAGCCACCCTCAAGTGTTTAAGCGCTTCTCAACACCGCTCCAGTTTTGTCCCAGAACACCTGAGTGTGGGGACACCTTGGAGACCCCCTCGTGTTCCTCTCGGTCACTTCCGAGGTGAAGGCCCAGGGAGGTGGCCCCCTGGACAACTGTGGAGCCTGGTCTGGAATCCTCACTGTCTTTCTGTCGCTCTGTCCCTCCTGTAGACTCATAAAAACATTTAGAAATCTGGCCCAGCAAATATTAGATGTTTATCAAGTATTTTAAAAAGCAACTACAGAGGAAGGGAAATGCGGCCTAAATTTAACAATCTGGTGCATGGACAGATTATAATTTTAGATGTTAAACTGGCACGTTGTAAATAAATAAGACACGTCGTGGCTGTGGGTGTGAGCCTGCTTGTGTTGACCAGGCATTTGATTTGAATAGTATTGTGAAGTCATAGCAGTTTGAAAATCGGGCTGATCTCTTACTGTGAGATTAATGATAACCTCGCCGGAGAGCTGGCAGTGCCACCTGACGCTCTCACGCCCGCCCCCTCGCCACGCGGAGGACCCGGTGCTGACTCTGCCACCCACCTCTCCCAGGAGCTCCCAGAGTCCTTGAAGGGGCAGACGCACCTGAAAGAATGGCACATAAACAACACCCTGATTGAAACCATTCCTACCTATATCGAGCTCTTCCAAGCGATGAGAATCCTGGATCTGCCAAAAAACCAGCTCTCCCATCTCCCGGCTGAAATTGGTATGTCTCCTGGCGGAGCCCAGGCCTCAGGTTAGCGGGCAGCCGGTGGGCAGGCGATGCTGCTGTGAGACCTGCTCCCCACTCCTCCTGCCCCAGGCTGCGGGGTTTCCCGTGTTCCCAGAGCTGCTTGTCCACAGTGTCCCCTGGGGGCGGTGATGCCGCGATCTCACCTGCATAACTTAGCATGTACAGGCGTTTGCCAGATGCTTGCAAGCTAGAAGGCTCACGAGCGAGCAGTGCTGTGGTCAGGAGCTTTCATTTCCTCTCAGTCACTGTGATTTTTTTTTTTTTTTTTTTGGCCTGGTGACAGGCTGTTTGAAGAACCTGAAAGAACTCAATGTGAGTTTTAACCATCTGAAGAGCATTCCTCCAGAACTGGGAGACTGTGAAAATCTGGAGAAGCTGGATTGTTCTGGAAATCTAGAATTAACCGAGCTCCCCTTTGAAGTAAGAAAGTAAACATTTTTGCACTGTGATGTACTTTTATCGGGTTTATGACATGGCATGGTTTGTAATGGGAGAGGAGCTTTAAAAGATGAAATCCATCTCTACATGTCACACTTTCCTGACATTTCAGTCGCTCTCCAACCAGCTATTACAAGGTCTTTAAAATGCTCTTACACTAGGCCAGCACCTGAATTCAAGTTCAGAAATACCATCAAAGGAAAACTAGGCAAAAAATCCTGTTTTCATATAAGATATTTGTATTCAGTGCCTATTTAATATATGGTGCCTGTTGGCTGTGATGCAGACTCCAATTTATTTATCCACAATCGTGAAATAAAATAGAGACAGTTGGAAATAAATAAAGGGGGTATAATTTAAAAAATTTAGATACTGAACAAAACTTGTAGGTACCTGAGGTAATCCTACAGATAGGATTTAAGACGACTATTAATTTAAAAATATCCACTTCTTTTGGTCTGTACTCATTGGAGAAATGATTTTAAATCGTTTTTCCGATAAAATGGAGCAGATTAAAGTGAACAGTTTTAATTGCCAAATAAACTTAACGAGCGTCTTATGCTGAAGAGAGATGAGGACCTGACGATCCTGCAGGTAGTGAACAGGCTAAAAGTGGTGTTGCTGCTGAGGCGTGACAAGGCCCTGGCCACCGACGACAGTCTTAGAGGGGGTGCTAATCTCCTTTCCTGAAAACTTCTATGTGGGGGGAAGTGGCTGCTTCTACTACCAGCATCCATCTCGCCCCAGGAAATGCCTGACAGTGGTCCAGGTGAGGGGACACCGCCAAGGGTCATGACTCCCTGCACAGTGTCAGTCCCCAGACCTCCCCAGTTTAGCAAATGGCTCAGTCATCTCTCAGACCTTCAGGCTGGAAGCAAGCCAAGCCCCTCTGACCTTCTTGCTCCCGTGGTCCCATGGCAGGCCAGTGCCATGGGGCAGACCCTCCGGAACGTGTTCGGTATCTGACCACTGCCCAGCACCTTCCCACCAGGACCCTGGGCCAAGCCCATGTTGTCTGTCATCCGGACGGGACAACAGCCCCCAGGCTGGTCTTTCCCTTCCTTCTTGTACTTCCCCCCCTTTTATTGAGATATAATTTGTGTACCATCAAATTCACCCATTATAAACGTACATTTCGCCAATTCAGTTTTAGGCTGTTTCCGTGACTCCTAAGAGGCCTGTCTTGCCCGTTTACTGTATAAAGTCGCATTGCTTGTTGACGAAATCCCCAGCTCCCCAAGGGCAGCCCCTGCGCGCTCGCTGTCTTGGGGCCCTGGCGTGTGCACGGCGGTCCCCGGTATGTACTGTCTCATCTCTTTTGCGTATATTCACAGGAACGCCTTTGGGGAGAGAGGTCAATCAAGAAATTGCTGGTCGAACTAAATTCACTCTCTTACAAAAGTAATCAGAATATTTTGTTCCTTTCTAGCTAAGTAATTTGAAGCAAGTTACATTCGTTGATATCTCGGCAAACAAGTTTTCCAGCGTCCCCATCTGTGTCCTGAGGATGTCTAATTTGCAGTGGTTGGACATCAGCAACAATAGCCTGAATGACCTGCCCCAGGACATAGACAGGTAGCTACTTGCTTGCTGAGGGCCAGGTATATGAATTAGTTACTGACATCCTAACGCAGCTAACATTTCAAACTTGCACAACACGGGAATGCTCTTTGAAGTCACTGAATTCTCCAGAGTTCATTGTTTCCAGGAAATGAGTTTGGTTCTTTATATAATAAGACAATTTCTAGTCTACTTCATACATGTACATGTATATATACAGGGCTGGGCAAAAGTATGTTTACAATTGTGAGTACTCAAGATACAGTTTATTCTTATATTATTAATTAATTAATGTATTTATTTCCCATATGAACAACTGGAAACCTACTTTTGCCCAACCTGTATATGTGCATTTGAACAAATCTTCGTCGTCTTGGTGAACTTCAGTTTACCTCGGTCCCCAACAGAATGACATCATTAACTTTCCTTTCCTTTAGAAAAGTAAAATTATTACTTTTATCCCATGTTATTATATGGGATGGAAACATATCACTCTATGTTTAGAATATCAGTGAGGATAATTTTTATTAGTTTCATTGATTGATTTATCATACATTATCTTTTAAACAAAATCAGGATGCTCAGTAGGGTTTTCAAGTTATATCCTTGTAGCTATTTCATGTTTAAAAATAATTGTTACACTGAATCATGTAACTTCATTCACTCACTCACTCACTCACTCACTCACTCACTCACTCACTCATTCCACCAATATTATTAGGCTCCCGTATGGCAGGCTTGGAGACTGGGCTGGGTTTACAGTGATGAATGAAACAAAATCCCTGGCCTCCCGGAATCCACTTCTTTATAAAGTATAAGTAAGCTGTCGGGACACAGATGCCAGAAGTGGCCTCATCCTGAAGGCCATCTCCTGTTTCTGTTTTCTGCTCCTGGTACATCTGATGAATATTGATGCATTTTCCGTTTGTGAGACTCAAGCGGAACTGTTTAAGTTTGGAACACTAGGGGAACTTTGTGAAATATTTATGGGATCAATCACGATTTTGCAAATGAATGAATGAAAAAAAACTGGAGAGGGAAGTCACCGAGTCAGAATCAAATGGAAAACAGTAAAACGCATTTGGAGCATAATTGGCTCATTTCCTTTTCTCTGCAGGTTTCTTCCTATTTTAAAGTTAGCAAATATGATGAGAGAGGAATAACTGTGCTTCCAAGATACACAAAAGGAAGCATTTGCCAAAATTTGTTTATTTTCACTCCAACTCTAGTATGACTGCTCATGCTCTGTTCACCCTTGGAATGAGGCAGACACTGGAGGGATATTTTGCTTTCTCAAAAAAAGTTTTTTGATTACAGTTTTGCATTCAACACTATTTTGTATTAGTTTCAGGTGTGCAGCATAGCTGATAGACACTCATATTGGAAGGAAATATTGATTTTTCTAGGCCCCCATGGCCTACTGCATATTGTGCAATTGGCTTATGCTGCGGCTGTATCTGTGTCTTCAATTGGCAATTAAACCAGTAAAAAATTAAGAATAAACAAATTGTGTCACTTGGTATGACTTTATTTAATGTTTAAAGTTAGTTTTTCTCATAAGGGTCACATATAAAAAATAAACTACCGACTGGTGTGGCTCAGTGGTTGAGCGTCAGCGTCGACCTATGCACCGGGAGGTCACCGGTTCGATTCTTGGTCAGAGCACATGCCCAGGTTTCGGGCTCTGTCCACAGCAGGGAACGTGTAGGAGGCAGCCAATCTATGTTGTTTCTCTCGCATTGATGTTTCTCTCTCTCTCTCCCCCCCTTTCCTCTCTCTAAAAATCAATAAAAACCTATTAAAAAAAAAAATAAACTAGGTTGGGATTTATTTGCAACCCACTTTGGTTTTCTTTGCTATGAAGCCAAGTCCTTGTGTCCTGATCCCTTTTCTGTCCTCTTAGGCTGGAGGAGCTGCAGACGTTTCTCCTGTATAAGAACAAGCTGACCTATCTGCCTTATGCGCTGCTTAACCTGAAGAAGCTCGCCTTGCTAGTGGTCAGCGGGGACCACCTGGTGGAGCTCCCGACGGCCCTCTGTGACTCGTCCACACCGTTAAAGTGAGTAGATCAGGGATCATAGTAGAGACAGGCTCAGGCACAGGGTAGGGAGCTGGGAGCGGCAGGAGCCTGGGACCGGATCAGATGGTCCTTATCTACTTAAGAATTAAAACTGCTCTGCTTTCTCTATGTTTAGACATTAAATACAATGAAAAGGAAAGTAAACTGGGAAATATATATGCTAAAATATGACAGATATGTGTGGATATGCCATAAATATATACTATATAAAACTCTTCTAAAACCAATTAGAATGATGCTAATACAAGACAGCAGGGCCTACAATTGTAACCAAAGATTCTTTGAGGGATTTCCTACTTTGAGTTGAAATAATTATATCATCTTCACATCAAAACATCTTTTAGCCCGGCCGTGTGTCGCTCAGCGGTTGAGCATCGACCTGGGATCCAGGCGGTCGGGGTTCGATTCCCTGCCAGGGCACATGCCCGGGTTGCGGGCTCGATCAATGACTCTCTCATCATTGATGTTTCTATCTCTCTCTCTCCCTCTCCTTTCCTCTCTCTGAAATCAATAAAGATATATTTAAATATATACATGTATTTAAAAAAAACACACAAAAAAATCTTTTAAAATTGTGAAGACAGAAGACTAGATGCCGTTTTAGTTTCTCTCCTGGAACTTCTCTATTTGTTTTGTAGCAGTGGTCCATCTCAGAAACACCTCTTTTATGGGAATTTTATCTGAGCCCTTTTTAACTAAGCCGCCTCGTTTAAGAGTGGATATCACTAATTGGGAGCAAAATCACATACAGAAAGAAACTTGCAGTTTTAGGGAGCTGACTGAGGGCCAGCGCTGTGCCGCCCCTGGGCCTCTGGGCCTCCTGCCCGCCGCCCGCCGCCCGGGCCGAGCAGCTCCCATTCCCCGCCGGGCCTGCGAACAGTCTCGGCCTTCGGACCGAGCCCATACTCCTGGTGGATCGGCCGGGCGGAACTCCCTGGCCATGCTAATTTTATGTGGTCAACTGTGACTTTCAAGAATAAGCGAGAACTTGGGATTTAGGACCACAAAAGTTGGCTTCCCGGGGGAGGAATTTGGCAGTTCAAAATGCATGGGGGAAAATGTGATATTGTCCATGCTTTCTTGAACAGATTTGTAAACCTTATGGACAATCCTATTGATAATACCCAGTGTCAAGATGGTGACGAAATGATGGAAAGTGAACAAGACCGTCAACACTTTGATAAAGAATTTATGAAAGCCTATATCGAAGATCTAAAAGAAAGAGGTAGGCTACTCATATTTAAAATATTTAAAATGAATATAAAAATGAATTCCATTCGCTCATGCAACACATTTATCCACATAAGTCAAACTGACAAAAAGTTAATTAGTTAGGGGCAGTTTACTTTGTAAATTATTTTCCCATTTACCAAAAAAAAAAGAAAAAAAGATACGTTTCCTTAAAATATTCCATTTGCCCTGTGCACTTGGAATGCCTGATACACCCTCAACTATTTGACAGAGAAACATAAGCTTAAAACGTGAGGGTTGCATTACTAATTGTACATGAGTTTTTAACTAAATGACATCGACAGGGGTATCCTAGTTAGTGGGACAAGATTCCATTTCAAAATTCTTTTAAATTCTACATTAGAAAAAGTCATCTCTTACACAAATCAAGGTTTGCCTACATCAAAATCACAAAAGGAAAAACACAAGAGAGCAGATGAGTAAGTCAGTTTATTTAGTTTCGGTTTCCTTTCGGGTGGTGATTACACAGAGGAGCTCGGAGGTCACAGGGAAGGGCGGGGCCTGTTTTCCCAGCGGAGCTTCGGGAATGTTCCAGAAGGCTGAGAGCTCAGAGCCCCTTCGGCACAGGAGCGCGTAAACAGGAAAGAGGCATTAGTCTTTGTTCTTCTGATCATGTAGTTACACATCCTAATGAAATAGAGAAGGCTGAGTATATGTTTTCCTTTCGTTACAGAGTCTGTTCCCAGCTATACCACCAAAGTGTCCTTCAGCCTTCAGCTTTGATATTGTCCCTCAGAAGTCCGCAGAACCTCCCTGTCTGTGCAGCTGTCAGTCTTTGTGCTGTGTGTCAAGTCACACAGGTGTCATGGCTCGTGTTTAAGCACGAAGTCCAGAAATCACTGTCATAATTGTTCGGAAAAATGATTTTCAAATTTCAAATATATGAATACCTCTCTCGGTGGACTGGGGAATTGATAAGTGGGTTTATATATTGAGATTTAAAGATTCATTTGCATACACTTGTTTCTAAATACTGCACACTTAATAGTTTAGAAATGTATTATTTTTTAAAATTGTAACTTAGACCAAATTTTGAAGTTGATTGTATTGTTTTTAGGAATTGAGGGATAAAGGGATTGTGAAAAGAGCATTTTTATTGGACGGGTCACATGAGAGTTTATTTTATTTTGTGATTTCGAAGGAGTTTTAACGCATTATTTCTTTTACTGAGAATAATTGTCCTTGGGTTTATACAAACTGCTATTTCCATATGTGTTTTTTTTTAGTATAGTTTTAGTGATTTTNAATTGTCCTTGGGTTTATACAAACTGCTATTTCCATATGTGTTTTTTTTTAGTATATTTTTAGTGATTTTAGAGAGAGGAAGGGAGAGGCAGAGAGATAGAAACATCAATGATGAGAGAGTCATTGATCGGCTGCCTCCTGCAGGCCCCGACTGGGGATCGAGCCCGCGACCCGGGCATGTGCCCTGACCGGGAATCGAACCCCGATCGCCTGGATCCTAGGTAGGCGCTCAACCGCTGAGCCACACCCTGCCGGGTTCCATGTTTTAAATTACATTTTGCAAGTGTGGGCTCTCAGGAGAGACTTTAGGTATAATGTGGGCCTTGAGGGTAGAAAGAAGGGCTGGGATGTCACCCGTGCGTTGGGCACAGGACGCTCGGGTGGTGTGCTGGCAGCCCTAGTGGAGGAAGGGTGGCTGGGGCTGGTCATGGGAAGCCTTGCATTGCCCCAGTGGATGGTCATCTTGTCCTGAGTGGACACTGCAGGGTCCTGGGACCCACCTGAGAGCAGTCAGCAGAAGCAGCGCCCTGTGGGACCCCCCGAGAGGGCCATATAGCGTAGCAGGGAGGACTAATCCACAGCCGTGAGGAGTCCTTAGCAAGCCTTCCTCAAGGGCACCACGGAGAGCTGTGCCCGTGGCTCCGAAACGCAGCCCAGAGGGAGCTCAGGGGACTGTTTTACACTCACAAAGATGGGGTTCGTTACGGGGCTTTGGGCTCTCACATCACATCATGATATGGAGATATTGACAAATACCTACTTCTATACCACTGTCTCGGGCTCAAATAGAATTGTGTGTTGAAGATAAGCTTAAACAAGAAGCTTTTGTGACTTAAGAAGAAAAAAATGCACATATTCACACAGATTTATAGACCAATCGACTCCCATATGGTCTAGCCCAGTGCTGTCCAGGAGATGTTCCAGCAGCGATGACAGTCTTCTCTACCTGCGTGACCAGCATCATGAGCTTGAACATTGACAGGTGTGACTAAAGAACTAAATTTTTCATTTAATTTAAATTTAAACAGCCAGAGGAGGCTACCATATTGGACAGCATGGGTTTAGCCAGTTGGGTTCTTTGGAAGTTAATCTGGGCTAAAAATGAAGTGTGACTTTTATTTTCTCTTATTTGAAGAATCAGTCTGTCCCCAGAGGCACCCATTTAAAAAAGGTTACTACTGACACCCCAATATCTTGATGGGCCCAGTCATAATTCCAAATAATTTATCCTTAACATATATAAAACAGGAAGAGCATTCTAAAACCAGAGTTGAGGATTGCTTCAGCTTAAAGACAAACTCTGAGAAGTAGGTTAGGAGATGAAACGAAATAGGAATATAAGAAGTCACTGTAATTGAACCTCAAACAGTTGTATATTTCTTTTTAACTCTTTAACAATATAACTCAAATTTATTAGTCATACTACTTGAATGATTTTGGAATTTTATTTCATGCCAAGTTTATGCTATATATAGTCAAATAGAAAATATATTTGAAAAGAGGGGATTTTCATACAAGTTGACTCTTCAGAACCTATGTAAATTTTATTTCAATAAAACCAGTCTTTTGTGCAAAAATTTTGTCTTGGTGTTCATATAAATAAAGAGTACTGCATTGTTATATAATTATTTCATGCTACATAATACCCCAAACAAATATATTATTGAATACAATGCCTGTAGAGATATTTTTAAAAAAAAATGTTTTTATTGATTTCAGAGAGAGAGGAAGGGAGAGGGAGAGAGAGAAACATCAATGCGTGAGAGAAACAGTGATCGGCTGCCTCTCCCATGCACCCCAACTGGGGGACGGAACCCGAAACCTGGGCATGCCCTGACTGGGAATGGAACAGGCGACCTTTTGGTGCACAGGATGGTGCTCCACCAACTGAGCGACACCTGCCACAACAATAATATGGACACTAATCTACCTCCTGTCTCTGGATTTACCTAGTCTGAATATTTCACATCAATGGGATCATACCATATATGACTTGTTAAACTTAGCACCATGCTTTTTAGGTTCATATAGTGATTTTAACAACAGTCACCACCACGGCGACAATAATTAGGGTTAGAATGGTTAAGCAGCAGATTCTAGAATAGCAGCACCTGCGATTGCGGGCTGCGTGGGAATACAAATGCTTCCTTGGGGAGGAAACCGCACCTATACTCTCCACCCGGTAGTTGGTGTTTGCTCTGGGGCTCTCAGCCCGTCGGGGCTCAGAAAGCCAGGGGTGGAGAGGTACCTTCCCTTTCTTCACCCTGGTGTCCCCTGTCACCACATCCACTATGGTGCTCGTCCTTGGGAGAGAAGGCTTACAGGTGGGGATCTCTACCACGTGGCTGGTGTTTGCTCTGGGGCTCTTAGCCCTTGAGGGCTCAGAAAGCCAGGGGTGGAGAGGTACCTTTCCTTTCTTCACCCTGGTGTCCCCTGTCACCGCATTCACTATGGTGCTCATCCTCGGGAGAGAAGGCTTAGAGGTAGGGATCTCTACCACGTGGCTGGTGTTTGCTCTGGGGCTCTCAGCCCTTAAGAGCTCAGAAAGCCAGGGGTGGAGAAGTTCCTTTCCTTTCTTCACCCTGGTGTCCCCTGTCACCACATCCACTATGGTGCTCATACTCGGGAGAGAAGGCTTAGAGGTAGGGATCTCTACCACGTGGCTGGTGTTTGCTCTGGGGCTCTCAGCCCTTGAGGGCTCAGAAAGCCAGGGGTGGAGAGGTGCCTCTCCTTTCTTCACCCTGGTGTCCCCTGTCACCACATCCACTATGGTGCTCGTCCTCGGGAGAGAAGGCTTAGAGGTAGGGATCTCTACCACGTGGCTGGTGTTTGCTCTGAGACTCTCAGCCCGTGAGAGCTCAGAAAGCCAGGGCTGGAGAAGTTCCTTTCCTTTCTTCACCCTGATGTCCTCTGTCACCGCATCCACTATGGAGCTCGTCCTCGGGAAAGAAGGTTTACCGGTGGGGATGCCAAAGGTAGGTTTGCTTATTGTGGGAAGTGATGGGGACATTGGTGACTGTTTGGCCAGATCTAATCCACTCTGCTCACAAAAGCCCTGAAGACATGCCTCACAGTTTTTAATGTCATGTGGCCCTTCAAGAGAGATGTCCTTGATTGTAGGAATCTCTGCCATGGACTTAAACCCTTCTCGGTAGCACTTCTTTAGGATTCGGAGCACCAGGTTGTTCAGGATCCTTGAGGTGTTCTCCTCTGTGAATTCAGGAGCCTCGAATGGAGGCTCAACACACTTCTGACATCGCTGGGCAAAGACCCTCATCTTCACCTGGCCCTTGGATTCCTTCTTAATCCAGCGCACGTGGAAAACAACTTGAACATGGGCAGAGGCCCAACTGCGCGAACACCAGGAGCACTTGAACCTGTGGGGACAGAAAACAAGACCCTCGGCTTGACCAAACTATGCGCCAGAGGGAAAAAGGAGGGACCCATATTACAGGGACATGACTGGACGGGGGCCACCAACATGCTCTGTGACTCACAGGTGTCTATCATTAAGATAGTAGGTCCCAAGCTGTCAGAGCTGAGTGGGATCTTGGGCACCTTCTAAGTGCCATGCGATCGTTTTAGAGATGAGGCACACACTGGGAACTGGTCATGCCCAGAGACTCTGTGGGTGTAAGAGGCAGGACAAGAGCTTCAGTTTCCTGACTCCAAACCAAGGTGTCTCCAAATGTAGACTGAAGTGGGTCAAAGGCTACAAGTGCAACAGCAGCCATTAAATCAGCCCCAGGAACCCGGGGCTGAAACCCACAAGGGCACCCAGGTGGGTGTTGGTGAGCGCCGAGTCCCAGCGCTTGAGTCCTAATGAAACTCACATGAAATCCTAATGCCCGAGGTGATGGTGTTAGAAGGCGGGGCCTCTGGGAGGTGATTAGGTCACAAGGGTGGAATCCTCATGAATAGCGTAAGTGCCCTTATAAAAGAGACCCCACAGAGCTCCCTAGATCCTTTTGCCCTGTGAAGACACAACAAGGAGTCAGAGACCCAGAAGAGGGCCCTCACCTGACCAGCTGGCACCCTGATCTTGGACTTCCAGCCTCCAGAACTGTGAGCAGTACATTTCTGTTGTTTATAAGCTGCCCAGTCTGTTTGTATTTTTATTATTTTCATAGCAGCCCCAAAGAACAAAGATACTAAGTCACAGACGCCAGGTCAGGGAGGGATCCTAAAAGGTCCAATGTCCTGTTTGCTTTGCTCTCAGTTGCCCAGGGTCCCTCAATCTGCTGGTATTACTGGGAGGGCACAGTGTCCTGTTCTCTCTTCTTTGCCCCAATTCATTGCTCAAAGTAGCTTGAAACACTTCATATTCCTTGTGCCCCTGGCTTCAGAGAGGGACAAGAGAATGACACATCATCTCAGCCGGCAGGAGGGGAATTTTCTGAGCTAAGATAGCTGGACAGATGCATGTCAGGACAGATGGAGAGAGGGAAGAAGGCAGGGAAGCGTGTGGCAGCACCCAGGATAGGAATTACGGGCGAGCAGAGGGCTGCTGTATGGCAGGGGCAGTTAGTGCTCACCAAATTATCCATGCACTACCTCCCATGTCCCAGCCCTGCCATGCAGTTAAGTTGGGGCAATGTGACCAGTTGGCTGATGGGATGTGGGCTGAAGGGATAGATGCTGCTTCCAGATTTGGCACTGAAGCCCTTGAAAGACTTTCCAGCTCTTTCCTTCTGTGTCTTGCTGAACTTGGGGCCGTGTGTTAGGTCAAATCACTGATATCTCAGGACTTATTTGTTACAGCAGCCAAGCCTAGCCTTGCCTGGCTTGATGCAGGGCACCTGGAGTCTGGGATGGTGTATCCGAGGGCACTGGGAAGCAGTCAGTCAAGGTTTCCCTTCTGTATCTTGGTCCAAGCCCCACCTCACAGGGTGACCGTGAGGATGAAATGCAGGGACCATGCCCAGGAGCCCTGACCTCTGTGAGTGAGATGACCTTGCTGGTGCAAAGGGGCCTGGGCCCTGCTCTTCTAAGCTACTGTCCCCTGCCCCCACTCTGGGTCATGCTGCTCTGCTGGGATGTTCGGCTCAGAGTTTAAAAAAAAAAGAAAAAAAGGGAGCTCAGACTTTGCTCAGCTGCTCCTGGCCTGAGAAAACCACAGTTACAAGGAGAGGAGGGCTGTTTCCTCTTCCCAGCCTCCCTCCAGTAGGGGGCAGTGGGCAGGCAAGCAGCCCCTTCCCCGGGCTGGGGAGAGAGTCCCAAGCCCGATCCTCCCTGCAGGTGGATACTCCCATCCTTGGGCTCTGATTTCCCACCTGGAAGAGAGGATGAGACTTTGGATGCCTTCTAAGGGTCGTATTTTTAAAAAGATTCCTTTAGTTCAGAGTAGAGAAGGTTAAGATGGCTGCATGTGGCTCTGCACCCTCCCTGAGGGGGTCTCCTGAGTGCACAGGGTCCCTCTCTCACGGGCTCTGAGGCGGACCCCTGGTCTCTCAAGGCAGGGAGCACAGGCACCGAGCCTTGCTCATCCAGCTCTCCTGGGCCTCCCTGCTCTTTGCCCTCACCCCTCCCTCGTGGCCTGATTTCACACCAGTGCCGGCCCCTGCTATTGTTTTGGGGTTCATTGTAATACAAAAACCGTCTTTAATGAAGCTACCACTTCTTGAGTGATGGGCACCCCACTTCCTGTAATCTTCAGTTTACAAGCAGGATTTGGAATCAGAAAAGTAACCAGTATTCCCAGTAAGGAATGGGAAGGATTTCCTGGAATACATCCCACCCCATCCCACTCCCTACTCACCTGGCAAAGACCTGCTGCTGGTATTGTGTCCACCCTGGTTGCAGGGTGTTGGGAAGGAGGCTGTCATCTAGTGCCAGGGTCCACTGGTCCCATGGTTTCACCTCGTGAATTAATTCCTGGAACACTTTCTGCCACGTCTTCAGGTCCTCACCCTGGGCCGCTGGCATGGTGGGCTGGGGGATCAGGCTGTGCTGTGCTGGGCTCTGAAGGATCTCTAGGAGGACATGGCTGTTCCCACTTTAGAAAGCACGGCTCACACCGGGTCCCCTTTATGTACCCGCACCGGCCCTGCGCACCAGGTCTTTGCCCCAAAGACAAAGGTCAATTGAGTCTGGCTCCATGTTTAGAGAACTGCCCTGGGCTCCACAGGGAATTTGGAAAGACATGGAAGGCATGGCTTTGTTCATCAATATATCACCCCAGGAGCTCTCTGGATCCCAGGTCAGGCTGTTCCCTCCCCTCAGCCTGAAACACACCTTTTAACCACCGCAGCCCTGCAGGTGGTGGGAAGAGACCGCACTTGTCCTTTCCAGTTCTCACTTCAAATCCTTACTCAGGGCCGCTGCGATCATGCCCCAGGAGGAGACACGCAAAGAAGGGCAGCCACTGTGGGCCCTCGCCTGGGTCCTGCTCTCTGTCACTTCTCCCCTCGTGCCCAGTTGCTGCAGGATGGTATTTCGCAGACACTGAGCTGCCTGCGGTGACTCCCAAGCCCAATCTGCCACCCATTAGAGATGGAAGCTGGTGCAGTCCCTGTGCCCAGGAGATGAGGCTACAGGGTCCCCGCGTGGGTGAGAGGCCACTGGCTACACCCCAAGGTGCTTCACCGTCCCTTAAGGGCAGGCTTAGGAAGGAGGGAGAGAGGGGCAGCGGGCAGCAGCCAGGGAGGGTGGACAAGGCTGGGTGTCTGCGTTCCCTGGCCCCAGCTGCGGACAGCCTAGCCCTGACCTGAGTGATGACTCCCTCCCAGGAGGGAGCCCCACCTCCACCAGGCCTCCACCTGGCAGCCCCCTCTGACCACTCCCCACACTGCAGCCCCACCTGTCCTGTGCTGCTCAGCATGGCTTTCGGGCCCCTCATAGGCCACTGCTCCCCTGCCAAGCTCATCTCCCCCCAAGCCCACATCCCCCCCGCGCCCTAAAGCACAGCCCTCACTCCCTAGGGTCCTCTGACCACTCCTGCCCTTCCAGGCCTGTACCCGCACTCACGTGGGTCCACCCCGAGTACCTGCCTTCCCTCCTTCACTGCTGCTCACCTGCCAGTTCTGGGGCCCACACTGTTCGTGCCCCACAGTCCACTCCCACCCTGCGCCGGCCTGGCAACTGCTGCTGGAGAAAGAACCTCTCCCCCGTCCCCTCCGGCTGGGCAGACGCAAGGTCCCTGCCTCAGACGGCCAGCTCAGAGAAAGTACTGGCTGGGGATTTCAAAGGATCTGCCTTACTTTCCTGTTGGTGCGGGATCTGTGGGACAACGTCATAGTCATAGCCTGTTTTGTTTCATTAAAAGCACCCATGGGCCCTAGCAGGTTTGGCTCAGTGGTTAGCGCATCGGCCTGTGGACTGAAGGGTCCCGGGTTTGATTCTGGCCAAGGGCACGTACCTGGGTTGCAGGCTCAGTCAGAGCACTTGAGGAAGGCAGCCAATCTCTCTCTCTCTCCTCCCTCCCCCACTCAAAAAATCAATGGAAAAAATATCCTTGGGTGTGGATTAATAACAACAAAAAGCCCAAACTATTTGAACACAAGTATTTAAGAACAAGAGAAAGTCTGTCACGTTGAAATTAACCCAGGCTGACTATCTTCCCTCGAACTATCAGGAGTAAAGTCATGTACCTGATTTTGCGGAGAATTCTGCTTTCCTGCGGTGGTGACAGGGATGCCAAGGCCTCGGACACAGCCGCGTGCAGCTCAGCAGGACTGAAGGCAGCTGGTCACGGGGACAGTCCCAGTCCCGGACGGTCTCATTGAATTGGCCTGGGCTTCAGCATTTGTCCGAAGCTCCTGGAATGATTCTAACGCAGACCACACACGGGGAGACTGAAGGAAAGGAAAACCCAGGAGGTCCGGGTTGGCAGTCACACAAGCAGGAGGCAGGCCCAGGGTCGGAGGTGGCCGTCCTCCTGCAGGGCTGTGGCGGAATCTGCTCTTAGGGGGTCAGTCCTGGGCCTGCCTGGTGCCCCGACCAGCGGCCGAGCAGTGGCCACAGGGAAGGGCGAGGGCTCCAGGAGGAAGGTGGAGGGG